AATATATATATAGAGGTTACATTAGCTTTAATATAAATTTTTTAAAATTTTTATCCACTTTTATTAGAGCCAATTAACTATATTTTACATATAAGCTTTAATATTTAATAAATTTTAATTGTCAAATATAACAATTTTTTTTTTTCTCTCTTTTTTTTTTTTTTTTTTTTTTTATTTGGTTATCCAAATTTTAATTATAACCTATTTAAAATTTACTAATTTTATCTACTTTTAATAATACAACATTAAAAGCTTTTATCCACTTTTAATGTAACCTTTTGACCAATATCCGCTTTTCAAATATAACATTTTTGTAAAAAAGTAACCTTTTTAGCCAAAATTTCAACGTAACTTCTATATATATTGTTCGAGGTCCTCCTATAGCCTGTCATAGGATGACGGGCTCTAACACTAGTGCAATGGTAAAATTTATATGTCATAACAGGTCATAAGGTAATAACCCATAACAGATACCAAATTTGTGATGGTTTAGATAATATTTACTAGTTCGACTATGTTCACGGTGATTTTCACAGTTGAAATATTCTGATTGATGAAAGGGCTTTTGTTCTCTATAATTCTTGTGCTTGTATTACTGATTTCGGGCTAATTCGACTGGCTTATTCAACCTAAGCAAAAAAGGGAACATACGGTGTTATTCCATATATGTCTCTAGAATTATTTCGTGGTAAACCTAAATCCAAGGCATCAGATATTTATGCATTTGGAATCTTGATGTCAGAACTTGCTTCACGGAAAATTGCTTTTAAGACCGAAGCCACGACAAAAGCCTTATATTTGACATCATTGATGGTTTAAGGCCCGAAGTTCCTCACGATTATATATCGACAGACGGCATGGCAAAATTTTTTTAATATTTCGCCATGGTGTTTCAAAATGCCATGCGCCTAAATGTTTTTGATTGCAGAAAATAGGTTGCCGATATTGCCTATATTATTATAGACTGCCTATATTATTATAGACTGCCTATATTATTATAGACTGCCGATATTATTATTGAATGCCGATATTATTATTGAATGCCGATATTATTATAGACTGCCGATATTATTATTGAATGTCTATATTACTCATTTACACTATAGATCGGATTTTTTATATTTTGGAATTGAAAAGCAATTCTTAAATGCATCTTAAATAGTCAAAGAAATAAATACCAATTATTTTATGTACTGTATGAAGTATCATTCATATCCAGATAAAATTTTTTTTTTTACTACTTTTAGCTTTTAAACCAGCCTATTGGAACCTCAGGCAGATCTACCCTATAAAAAAAGTCGATCCGTGTTTTATATAACATTAAATCATGGAGATTATTCGGCTTGTCTAGATTTTGTCGATCATGTTGCAGATTCATGGAGTTTTCATCAAAAATATGGAGAAATGTTTGAAAAAATTTTTTACAGGTCTATAGTGTTACATATAGAAAGGTTCACGAGATTATTCTTTTAGATGAAATACTTGAAAATCTAAATCATAGCGAAAGTTTCAGATTTCTGTCAATAACACTGTATCACGGTTGATATTTATAACGCTAATAAAATATAGTATTAGAGCCCGTCATCATATGACGGGTTAAATGTTATAGAATAAATACTACAAACATGTTATGCGAATGTTACAGAGACCGTTATCTTATATAAAGAGATCATCAGGCTATATATATGTTATGCATCATTTCTCAATTCATGTCAACTATTAATTGACGCGTGTTACAGTGTTTTTCAACCGGTATTGGTATAAATTTACATTTAATAAAGAAATCATTGCGACGCATTTAAGATTACCATAGATTCCCGAAAATAAGCTACCATTTTTTGGACGATTTTAAATTTAAAAAATCAGGAATAGTTTATTTTCAGATAAAAGCAGATTTTTTAAACTTATGCATATATTCAAATTTATGCATGTTTCGCATCATTTTTCTGTACTTCAATTAATTGCCATATTTCATGTTTAAATTAGAACACAACATAGGTCATTTTGTGGACAATATAATTTTAAAAAAAGTAATTATAACGATTTGATTAAACATACGCATCATATATGTGTGTTCAACGAAGTATAATCAATTTTATATACATGTGCAAAATATTTTAAATACAATTACTTTATCAAATAAAACGCATCGTATATCAAATTTTTCGATAGTGCCTTAATTATGATTTGTAGTAATTTCCTTAAAAGGAATTCCCATTCTATTATAGGTTAGATTTTTTTGAATATTTATATGAATATTTTATGTTAAAAGTGTTTTAAATATTATTAACTAAAGAGTTCTTTAATATTAGCTTAGGTTCATTTGCAGTAAAGGTCCATACTTTTTTTGATATAGTTAAGTGTAGAAATTGGAACCGGTCAAAAAATTTATAATGGCAGCACCCTGTTACAC